AATGCATTTAAACAGCTCTAGTGTCCTTTGAAATTGAATTAATTGATTGCAGTTTAGATTTTTTGTTAGTTTAATAAAAAAATGGTATACAACATCTTTTTTTAAAAATGCTGCTTTTATACATTTACTGTAAGCTTTTTCCACTTTAAAATTCTTTGAATGAGCTGTGCAGATGCCCTGAAAATAACATTTTTTAATGCTTTATTTTAGTTTAAAATTCACATATGAAGCTGTATTTAGGTTCGATTCTTTTAAATTCTAGATTAAATTTCAGGAGTTCCTCAGTGATTAAAACCTTCAACGCAGGAGTCTTGTAGTTTAAAATACATTTAACCAGTATTTTCCGAGCTCTGTTTGATTCATTATTTATCATTTTAAGAAGTGCATTTATTCTGAAATAAGTTTCAGCACCTTAGTTCTACACTAAAAGTGTTTACTAAGCAATTATGAACATATAATCCAATTAACTTTAATAATTATGAGTCTATAATGATGAATTGTTGTCTGTCTGCAGAATATTGTGGCTACAGGCTCCGTAGACTGCACTGTGTGTGTGTGGGACCTGAGGAACGTCCGGCAGCCCGTCAATCAGATGTCGGGACACACCTACGCCATCCGCAGAGTCAAGGTACGTAAGGACCCTCAGTGACATAACACCTTGCTTTGCTTCTCAACCAAACATAAACCTGAACCCTGGAGCCAAGTCTTAACCTTCAAACAGCCGTTTGTACGTCTGACCCTAGTGAGGACTGGAGAGAAGGGTCCAAAAATGTCCCCAGAAAGATAGGCAAACAAGTACACCCAGCTTGGTTTGTGGTGCACCCTGCCACAGGCTCCGTCAAATGTCTTAAAAACACTGTGTTCTCAGCACTGAGCACAAATGTGTGTGTGTGTGTGTGTGTGTGTGTGTGTGTGTTCTTATTAGCTCCATTTAAGTGGGTGTTTTGATGCTGTCAGACCTCACACTGCATCTCTGCCAACACACACACACACACACACACACACACGTTGTGAACAGACAGCTGCAGAGGAGTCCCCAAACACAACCCTGTTACTCAGATTAGTCACCGCACACGTCATTTCACACACACACATAAACACACACACACACACACACACACAGAGACATCATGAATACACACAGATCCACACACACAAACACATCCACAGGACATTACATTTCCTGGAGACTAAACATAACCATAACTACTATTTGCCTAGTCTCACCCTCAACCTGTTTAATGGGTTACATTATGGACACTTGTCCCCAGAAACGAGGTGTTCCCCAAATAATTTGAGTCATGTACCCACAACAAGCACAACACACACACACACTCACGCTGTTCAACCACAAACAGAAACTAAACTATCCGGCAGCTCAGACGGCTTTTCAGGACAGGTGTCACCAATCGATCCAGAGTACTCACTCCAGAAGTGTTTGTCAGCGTTTGCAAATCTGTCGGCTCGTATTGATTGACTGGAAGGAGCAGAAATGAGGTGATCAGCAGCCTGAGAAAAAAGAGATAAAAATAAACTGATAAGCAGTGACGGCCTGAGACCCTCTGTCCAGCCGTCAGGTGAATTTGAAAAGGCACAGCTCGACTGAGTGAAAGTGTTGGTGGATACTTTAAATCTTGAATTATCGGTGTTATATATGATAGCGATATAGAAAACAAACTATACCAAGTTATATACCACTCAGGAACGTGGTTGTCTGAAGCTACGAGCTGCAGCGATCAAGTAAAGCTGATGCTTATCTTTATCTGCATCTCTGTTTTTCTTTAACCTTTATTGTATACTATTTCCTTCATCGTTCCTAAACCCACATGGCTGCTTATTTTGGCTCTCACAGTAAAAGTTCTAAAACTGTAATCCAAACTACTTTGACCTGCTTTATGTACTGTAGTTATGCAGTTCTCCTGTCCAGTGAATGATTGCTATGAACACTTTTAATTAGAACATTAGCACCAATGTGGTTTAGATAATTTGGATAAAGTGGATTTATACATTATTAGACTGACAATGAGCACTGATGAAGGTTTTAGTGTTGGTGAGGAAAATGTTGTTTGAGCCAAGAGGAATGATGAACAAAAACAAGTGATCAGGCTTTAAAAGAAAAGGGAAACATGAGTTGAATAGATGCGAAGGTTTTTGTATATTCTTGTACTTTAATTGTAGCAATTGGACTTGCTTGAGTTCCTTATAGACATTTCACCTCTCATCCAAGAGGCTTCATCAGCTCTGACTGACTAGTGGGGAGTTTCAGATACTTATATCCTTAAGGAGCCATTAACACTTGAGTTTCAGTTTTAACTGGGGGTTTGTTGCTCCTCCCCCTCGTTATGTGGGTCGTTAGTGCTCCTCCTGCCACAATGGGGTTCGTTAGGGTCTTTGTTAGGTGTGAATGCAGATGAAGCCTCTTGGATGAGAGGTAAAACATCTTCAAGGAGCTCAAGCAAGTCCAGTTGCTACGATTACTCTACGAGAACAACCATGAGCTGGATGACTGAGAATCTTCACAGACACTGGTTTTGTATACTTTCATACTCCCTAGCTTCTCTGACGGGGTCTGAGGAGAACCTGATAATGTCGTACTGGTGTCACCCAGGTTGTCCCTGATTTAGCTGGTAGACTTTAAATTTACTACAGCGATACAAACTAGATGTGTGATGTGTGAAAGACTTTTAGGAGAACAAGCAACATTGTGGAGTTACATTATAGGAAATGTGGGTCTAATGTCTTGACCATGTGTCTCCTGTGAGTCCCTAACTGCAGTTCTTTATTTAAATGACATAAACAAACAAGTTTCAGTGAGATGCCTTTATTGATCGTAGTGTTCTGTAGTTTGTGATTCAGCAGGTAAAGTCAAATTATTCTGAAAAAACTGTGTGAAACTGATGACAGAGAAATGATGAGTTATAACAACTCACTGAGCTCTTTTTAGGAGAACCTGTCTACCTGCTCTTTCATGCAGTTGTCAGTGAGTCAGTCATGTGAAAAAAGTGCAGCAGAAACACCTTCATATTCACGTCTGAAGACCTTGTTTAGTCTCTTTTAGTGTGGTAGGATTGTTTCTGAAGCTGCTAATTTGGATTTTCACCACAAAACTCTGTAAAGTTACTCAGAAGGATGAAAAGCTAAAACAGTCCAGTGAGGAAACTCCTTGTTCATCACTCTACAACTGTGCTGAGCAGAAATCAGCTCAGACTCTAACCTTGAGGTAAACGAGCAGCAGCAGACGACATCAGGTCCCACTCCTGTCAGCCAGGGACAGAAATGTGAGGCTGCAGTGAACACCGATTCACCAACACTGGACAGCTGAAGATGGAAAAACGTAGCCTGGTCTGATGAATCTTCATTTCTGCTGAGGCTGCAGAGGGTTTGATCAGCAGCATGAATCCATAGAGACAGCCTGCCTGGTGTCAGCAGTCCCGGGTTGTACTGGTGCTGCTGGTGTAATGGTTGTGGGAATGTTTTCTTGGATAGTTTGGGCTCCGTCATACCAGCTATCATGGTCTGAATGTTACAGAGTGTTGTTGCTGACCATGTGCCTCCCTTCATGACCACAGTTCACCATCTTCTAACGTAGGATGAAGCACCATGGTGCAAAGCTAAAGTCATCTCAAACCTTCGTGTTGAAAAAGCCCATATTATGCCAATTTACAGGTTTATAATTTCACTGTTGGAGTCTACAACAATGTGTTTGCATGCCTTCATGGTAACAAACATAATTTTTGTGGGTACTATACATTGTTGAAAAGCCAGATCTTCTCTGATTGATCATCTGGTCCGATGGTGATGCAGATAAGTAAAGCCTGGACTTCAAAGTCAGTTTCAGGCAGGTAAGGAGCAGTGCTTTGTGTGGGAGGAAAAGACTCCATTTGGGGAGGACTTTGGGCTTTCTAACTTTGCAGACCATTTACATGCACAAAAAAGCTGCAATATAGCACAAGCAGACCAGACCAAAAATCACTATTAGCCTCAAAAATCCAGTCCAGGTCAGGCAAAAGATCAATGCTAAAAATCATTCTGCAGAGAAACTAACTAACTTTTTCTGTATCGTTTTTCCATGTTTATATAATCAAAATACACATTTAAAGGTTTTAAGGCCTGAGACAGATCCAGAATAAGACAGGCTTCACAAATTAGAGGACAAGCACAGAAAACCAGATCTGTGTTGTAGCTGCTGTCCCAGTGTTTATCTGACAATGCAGCTGATAAGTTTGTGCTGCGTATTCACATCTGCTGAGTTGTTATATTTGTTGTTTTTGCTTGGGCAACAAATGACTTTGCCAATAAAGCAGCTATGAATTGAAATGAGGGACAGAAAAAAAACGCAGCAGTGGAGAGAAAGGTGCTAAACGAGGAAGAGACTCCTGATAAGAAAGGTGAAACTGTCAGAGGCAGAGAGGGGGAACAAATGAGCGAATAAATTAATTTAAGAGTGCTTAGCCGACAGTCGGTGAAATGACTCTCTGTGGACTCTTTTCAGGCTCTCCGTCTCCTCACAGTTGTGTAACTGCTGAGCAGAAAAAAGCTGGAATCTCTGCTCAACCTGCCTGAAGCCATTTTTTACTTTGATGGGGAAAAGTCACGTTTTTTTTTTTAAGCATTCACGCCTTTTTTTTAGAAGATGAGGGACAAGCTGCAGCTTAACTGGGGACTTTAGTACAACATCAAAAAAGCTCAGACAGATGAAAATGTATTATTCAGCAGGTCCCTGAGGATCTAAAAAGAAATGTAGTTTTTCTGTTCAACAGAACAAACTGTAAACAGCGCTGCAGGTCGTCTGCTTTATGATGGACGACTTCTGACTCAGCGCTGCAACTGTCGTCTCAGTGCATATTTCCTCTCTACTGTTTACTTCACTTCTGTGTAATTAATCCACACATGGTGAGTTAGACAACAGACACAGACATTTAATTTTCTTTTATCATTATAAAATATAATTTTAACATATTTAACTGATAACATGTTAACGCCATTAAAGTCAAATGAGATCTGTTGTTGCTGAAGCAAAAGGAAGCAAACAAATGCTGACGGATTCATAGCTTTCCCCTGATCCTCGGTATTAAATTGATATTATTATTATTATTTATAATGAAATATTTCGTGTTCAACAAATACAAAAAAAGTGTCTTTACTTGTTGTCTCAAACTTTTGGACCTCAGTATGTATGTATGGTTTCCGTTTTTAAATCAGATAATCAATACATGTGTTGAACTGTCTGTTTCTGGTGATTTACAGGCTTAGAATAACACTGATGTTTGTCAAATAAAAAAGCTCTGTTCCTCTTTGATACTAATTGTGCCGCACCAATAAATTGATGGCAAATTTGGAAACATTCAACAAGATATCAGTTAATCATTGTCCTGATTTTAATTGATTTTATTCCTCTTCCTGCAGTTCTCTCCGTTCAGTAAGACGGTGTTGGCGTCCTGCTCGTACGACTTCACTGTCAGGTAAGATCAGCTCTGCCTTTCTTCATCTATCCTTTATATCTTTTATGAATCAGTGTGTGAACTTTGTTGAATTTAAGCTTTTTAAATGAACTTGTTTTTGGCTTGTCGGGTGATGTTGCAGCAAAACACCAGGAGCCGAAATGTGAATGTGTGTCGCTCATTTTGCGTTAATGATCCATAGAAATGAAGGAGGCCGTACAAGTTAAAATTTAATGTGTTTGCACAAAGAAATGTAGAGTAAACATCAGAGAGGAAACACAGACTGGGACTGAGGCAGAAACCCTGTGGAGCTGATTCAAACATTCGTCATTTGTACCCACATCAAACTCAAACCTACTGATTGGTGAAACCTTACGGCTTTAACGGTGTTAAATTGAACTGCAGTGGTGCTGAAGGACACCCTGCTGGTGATACGTGGGCCTGTCACCTTTCAAACATTCAGTCTGGTATTCCACCCAGCACTAGCTGCTCCTCATTTATCCTTGAGGAAGTTACAGGAAATTGCAGACATGAACGAAAAGAGAAAGTCAAAAGCCTCCATAGGGGGCACCAGAGAGGAGGCAAAGATAGGATGTGAGGAGGTATCTCTGGGCTGGGGGTTTGAAAATTACCCACATTGGTGCTTCAGGTGGTTCTATAATAATGATAATACTGAAACCTTCCCACATCCTTCTGTTGAAATAAGTCCAGTCTGAATGTGGCTTCATACCTGTGAGGTTTCTGTGATGCCGTATTCCAGTTTGACTCTCTGAAAGAATACTTTTCCTGAGGTGAAAAGACCGATGCAGTGGCATTTCTGCTCCTTTTCTTTCAATTACCGACCAAAGTGGATGGATGGTGTCATCCTCCAAGAAGTAACGAGTAAGACCACTGAGTGATAATGTGTGATAAAGTTAACTGGTGTGTGAGATGGAGAGAAAAACAAGATGAAGACAAGATGAGCGGTTCCTTTATTGAGCTGCAGAGACCAAGTTAATAAAACCTGTAATTTCAAGGTCGACCGCCTCTGTGTTCCTTATGCTGCTTCTTAATGGTGTCACCTCTTTCTTTGCCTCCTTTCTCTCCGTCTACTTGGGGGGTAGTATTCATGAGTTTCTGCAGCCTAAGGTTTAACATAAAGTCTGATGAACTGCTGACGAATCGACTTTTCTGCCTGTCCGTCAGTCTCAGGGCTTCAAATGATGAATAAAGTGATTTAAAGATACAGTTAGGTGGAGGACGGGTGAGGCCGCCGGCCGGCCGGCCTTTAGCAACTGAATAATCAACTAATCAGTCATCAGAAGATTAATCAAGAGTTACTTTGACAGTCGATTAGTCATTTCAGTCGTGGAGCAGTTGGGGGGCAAAAAGGACATTATAACATTTTTAGACAGTTTTATACGAACTATAAATGTATGTTTTGTCAGTAAAACAATGTCATTAATTCAAACCATTCCACCTTGGAGGTCACTGTGCTGGGACCAGGATGTATCTCTAATTAAAATGCTGTCACTGAGTTAAAACCACTGAAAATGGATGAAACATTATTGTCCTTCATTTCTGTTGTATTAATATTTGTGGAGTTGTATTTGGGTAATTTTGAGAATAGGTTCAATGACGTCAGTGCCCCCAACTTATCGTAATACGATTTACTCAGCTGGCAGATCAGGGAAAATGTCATAATTCCCCCATGTGTCTTTGATCCACAGAACCCCAGGATGCCAATATTTATGACATTCAGGAAGTAAACTTAATCTAGTCAGAGTTAGATCAGGTTTCCAACTTTAGATTCATCTGTCAGAACCCTGGAGAGCTTTAGAAGAGCAGAGAGAGAAACTCTATTAAGCAATTACCACCTCAGTAGCCAAATAATACATGGAAAAATAATAAGCTCACCACTTAGTGAGAGATTGAGGCCTGTTCGTGACTTCATTATGTTGTTTTATAACTAATTTGTCATTGCGTGGGAATTCTATATCCAAATTATGTTTTTATGACCGACATAAAGAAGAAACCTGCATCGTGAAGCTGATCGACAGAGGGAGTATTTAGTGTTAATGTGCAACAGGAACAATAAGACAGTGAATGAAATGAATACGCTGGAATAAGGTGAAACCCGCAGACCTGATACCAGATCCACCAACAATAATCACTCACGTGCACAAAGCGCTGCATTCAGTAGTTATAAACACTCTGCACATCCTGATCGGCCCAATTCAGCCTCCCTGTAAATAAAACACCACCCAGAGATACTAAAAGAATGAATATCTTATGGTATAAACGACATTAAAAAAAATCCTCCATGATCTATGTTGCTTCATTCTGAAAAATCCATCATCAGCTCCAATCATTTTGCTTTGGTGAATTTCTCTAGATGAGTCATTTCAGCTCTTGCTGTGGATTAAGAGACACTAAACACAAAATGAAATAATGACCGGTGGCGAGCTGAAAGAGAGGTGATGCTGCAGTACAGGGCAGGCGTTAGAAATGTCAAATGATCAGAGAGAGATGAAATGCCGAAGGAAAAGCAGGAAGGCTGAAAGATAAATGGAGTAAGAGCTGGTTCTGTGTCAACGCCTGTGTTTTATTGTTTTATTGATCCAGGCTTTCATTGGCTCAAATACTCTATGCAGAGTGCTGATTACATTACAGGCTGCTTTGACACACACACACGTACGCATGCACGCATGCATGCACGGACACTATAAAAAAAAAAACGTCATTCGCAGTAACAATGCACAGAAAGGCAGCAGAAATGTACCAAACAACATTTATTTTTGTTTTTCATGAAGATGCCTGGAGGCTGCAAACAAAGTAAAAAGATTGCTGGCATAAAACTAAAGCATTGAAATAATTCATGCCTATAAATTCTTGAAATCTTTTATTGATGTGAGGGAGGTTTGCTGAATACTCTGTTTCTGCAACACCTGTTACCTGTTTATTTAAGAACAGTCTGAACTTAAGGTGATGGTCTGACCATCAAACCTCAAGACACAAGGTTGAGTCTTTAACCTCAAACCACAGATACCTCCATCAAGTCAACACTTCATCTGATCCATAATATAAGAATGTAGAAATGTCACAACATATAGTACTGTGCAAGAAATGGTGTTACGATCCATAGCTATCATAAAGGTGTATGTCCCAAATTCACCCTGCAGCTGGACAATCAGCCCAAACATTCAGCCACACTGATAAAGAGCTGCTTCATCCACCAGAACAACCAGTGTCCTGCAATAGATGGTCTGAGCCCCACATAGGCCTGATCTTAACATCATGCAGTGAGTCTGGAAAACACCGAGACATACTCACTACATTTAAGGACTGTGGCAAGATCGCCAACAGCCAGCTCAAAATGAAGACCAAAGTTAGTCCCCCATTGGTGTAAAGTCTATCCAAAATCAAGACTGAAACTGTTTTTTTGGTTTTTTTTTTAAAAAAAACACCCTAAAACAAGTCCAAAAACAGCCTAAAACCACCCCAAAATCAAGACAAAATCAGCTTACACCAGTAGAATATTCAAGACCAAAACCAGTCCAAAGATTTTCCGAAATCCAGAATGAAACCATTATGCAACCAGTCCAAAATCAGTCCAACATCAAGATCCTAACATCAAGAAACTAGTCTGTAACCAGTCCAAAATTAACATAAAACTAGTCTAAAACTATTCCAAAAATCAAGACAAAAAACAATCCAAAACAAGTGTAAAGCAATTCCAGAATGGATAGCAAAGCCAATCTAAAGCCATAGTAGCAGCAAGTCACAATCAGTCTAACACGAGTCTAAAAATGACCCCAAATTAAAACCAGTACCAGTCAAAAATGAAGACTACAACCAGACCAAAACCATTCCAAAATCAAGGCCAAACCCAATATGAAACCAGTCCAAAACCAGTCTAAAACCAGTCTAAACCTGGCTATAAGTCAAGACTAAAGCAAATCTGACACCGTTCCCAATCAAGACAGAAACAGGATTAAAACCAGCCTGAAACCGGAGCTAACATCCTGGAGTCAGTCTGGATTAAATGAGGTGGCCGAGGACACTGAGACAGACTGAATCCACAGAAGAAACTGTCAAATGCATTAAAAAGCAGTGTGCCGGAGGAGAACTACTGCTGTTTCAGAGTGTACCCACAGCAAATATTTATTCAGTTTGTTTTCTTTCTATTTTCTCTGCATTGCTCTTAAAGCATCCTCACGACATTCTAGTGCCTAAAACTTTTGCACATTACTGACCGGGAAAATCAGCGGGTTTGATCAGAAAGCCCTCTTCCTCTTGAGGTATTCCTCTAGACTGTACAGATGCTGTATCCTTAATTTAATCTATCTCTCGGTCTTCTCCTTTATTAACTCACTTACTGTCCATTCTTGGAACTAATCCTTAATCCGTTCATTACTGCTGTGATAACAGGCTTTCAGTGGGTTTACTTCATCTGATGTTATCTTATTAAAACAGCGTGGTTGTAGCCAGCACTGCAAATTACCAACTAGCTATGTGCTTGTGTGTGCGTGTGTGTGTGTGTGCGTGTGTGTGTAGGTGTGTGTGTGTGTGTGTGTGCGCTTTCTTCCGTGGCAACGTCAAGTGTGTTTGTTTTATGTTGAACAATACAAACACACAGCATATCGAGGTAATTATCACCTATTATAAGTTGCGTCCAGCCAGTGATATTGCGTGTGTGTGTGTGTGTGTGTGTGTGTGTGTGAACCCTCTAAGCATTGATTACGAGTGACAACAGGAGGCTCTAATCACCTCATTAACAGGAGATGCATTTCTTTACTTTGTAAGCCATTAGCTTCTTTCTCATCCATTTGTAGCCACTTTGCAGTTTGTAAGTTTTACTAAATATGTTTGTTAAAAAAATGTCCATCACCTGTCGTATGAGATAGAGGACGTAGTAATATTTGAGTTCCAATGTGAATGTTTTAATGCAGGATTATGCGATGTGGATGCACATTTATTGTTGATCATATGTTCAGTATAGAACCTCACCTGGTTAGGATTTTCTGAAGTGTTTCAATTTG